CCCCATCAGATTCTTTATTGCTATTATCTGGGCAAAAGGAGTGGTATCAGAGGAGTCCAGAACACAGACAGGATAGAGCTGATCCAAGGACCCCCAATGCAAGTTCCCACTTGCTTTTCCCTGTTCTGGTGGTTTTCAGCACTAGAGTAGTGCTCTAGAGCAGTCTCTGTACTCCAACCTATCTGCAAGAGGAATGCTGGCAGAGCACCAAGGACTCCTCCATGTGACTTAATGGCTCCTTAGGTCTTTATGGCTGTGTCTCGGGATTTGTAGGCCACACCTCGGCTCTTCAGCTCCCGTACAATCCCTGCAAGAAGGATAAAAACCATGAGCTTTGGTGGCATCCGGGAGAGGAAGGTAATGGTGTGGAAGTCTGGTGGTTGGGGAGGTAGGCACACAATATACTTCTGTTGTTCTCCATTCCCACAATACCAAGACTTCAATCACTACCACTTTCTATAAAACACACCTGTGAGATACAGAAGTACCAGCGCTATTGTAGAGCTGGAGTTAGCAGGGAACACAAAACATCTGGCCTGACCTCTCATCTACTGCAGGACATTCCTTTTTACCCAGGTATCCCTATACCAAACCCAACAAATTGATTAAAGCACATTTTTCAGAAAATGTCTAATCTCAATTTGAAGACAACTACTAAGAAACCAGAAATACATGCTTCCTGGGGTAGCTTCCAAGGATAAAAAAACGCCTTTGCTCAAATTAAAAAGAAAGTTCCTCATTTCTAGTTTGATTTTTTCTGGCTTTGGATTCAGCTCCCAACTGTTGGTTCTTTTGTACCCAGTATTTCCTTTCCAGGTAAGTATGTAAACATGGTCCAAGTCACCCCTCAAGGAGCTAGAATTAACTTCCTATGAGCTCGAGTTAAGAGTGCTGCAAGTGCAATGTCTCAACCATAAGCTTCCCCTCCCCTCCTGCATCTGTGAAAGTGATGGGGAGATGCCACTCCACCACTCCAGTTAGAAACCATGTGAAGGTTACCTTGAGGCAGACGGCCAGTAACGGACACCGCATACACACCAGGCTTGAAGTTACCTGAGAGAAAGAGAATCGAGCAAAAGCATTCTAGATTATTCATCGAGACTCCAGCCATGGGAAAACACACTCCTCTCATCTGGAGTGTGAACACTTTCCTTTTTATATCTACAAGAAGAACGCAGAACTGAATCCAATGGTGCCAGGAAAGTAATGAATGAACACATATTCCATGGAAAGCAAGTAGCTGTCTCTAAGAGCCACTGCAGTCAGCTACAGATCACTAATCAGGAAGCCCTGCCAACCTCCTTGGCCCGGACAGAAACAGCAAGGAAAGCAATGGCTGTTATCTTAAGATTCCCTAAAGAAAGATGAGCTGAAGTCAGAATCATGTTAGAACAGACACTCACTGATTCGCTGCCACTTGGAAACCCAGCTGTCCTCAGGGCTCATCATAGCAATGATCCTGCAGAAGAGAAATGGGTTAACACACAAGGTTAATTTCAGACTGAAAACAGTTGGGTAAAGGCAAGGTAAACTCCCCCTCACCACCACAGAACCTGCCATGGCTACAGTCATGGAGGCATAGAAAATGGACTGACTTCTACTGCTCGCCTCCATGCCACAGCTCTC